CACACACACACACACACACACACACACACACACACACACACACACACACACACACACACCTGTTGGTTTTTCCTATCCCCTTGAGGATGTTGCATTGACTTTCATTCATTTTGCAGCCATTTCTATAGACTAATCTCTAACTCAGGGCTATTCAACTAAATTTCTCCGGGGGCCACAGTTAGTGCAGATCATCAGCTCAAGGGCCGAACATCTTATCATGTAAATAAACCAAGTATTACAAAGATCTGCTACCTTTGAAATAGTTTATTTTGCTGTATTTATTCATGAATACAACATACAGAACCCTATAGAAGTAGTGATAAATAAACAATATCAAAAACAAAAGAACACATTATGCCCCCTATTTGACACAAGTATTATTTTGACATCTCTGACTTGTCAAATTTATAAACCAATTTTATTTTCACTTTCATGGTTTTATCTTCAACAGCTTGTAATTTTAACTGTCTTGTGTGTTCATAGAAATGGTTTTTACCACCTTGTAGCCAAGATTCTGACATTTCTGTAGACACCAAACATGTCTATGTCGAGCTAAAACAACTTAGAGTAATTAAAGTCGAAAACTCATGGTTTGGGCTTAAGAGTTGAATGAACCAATTGGCGGGCCGAACTTTGGTCACTCATGGGCTGAATGTGGCCCGCGGGCCGCCATTTGAATAGCCCTGCCCTTACCTAACCCTAAATCTGACCTATACTCAATTTCAGTGGCAGCTGGTGGATTTTTCTCCAGGGGGAGCTATAACTCCAAAATTGACGTATCTCAAAAAGCAATCAAACTTGTACTGTTATTTCACGACTGTGTATTTATTAAACAAATCAAGATAATAAAACAGTCATGTAGTTTTTATTTTCTGTACATAAGTCTTGCTCTTCTGTTACTGAGAAGCAAATTTCTCCATGACTCTGGTTAAAGTCAGGGATGTTTTAACAAGATTCTTCTCTATAGAGAGCATGGTCAGTGCAGTGAGATGTGATGTTGTACCTGAGGAAAGTCTTGATTCTCTTCAGTGTTGAGAAGCTCCTCTCAGATTCAGCTGTGGTCAGAGGAGATGTGATGAGAATCTTCAGCAGAGTCACAGTCTCTGAAGGTGTCCTGCAGATTGTTCTCCATGAAGAGCTGGTACAGAGCCACAGCACCACTGCAGCTCCTGAACTACATCAGACTTATTGGTCCCGTTCAGCACTGGGTGAGCCTCCATGGTCTTCAGTGCTGCTTCAGAGAACTGTCCTGCAGGAACCTGTCTGCCTGCAGCAGTGTAGCTCTGATCAGATGTTTTGTGAATGGCTCAAGATTGTGTCACAAACCTAAAACAATAAATGCACAAATTTTATTCAATATGGAGATGGTTACAAGTGAGCTTTCTAACATATATTTAATATATAGAGAATAATTAATATTATTTTAATAGCAACAAATTGTTGCACCTCTAAGGTAAACTATTATATTTTAGTTTAAAAATTGTATTTATTTCATTAAAAAACAAAATAAACTCTAAGCACAACAGAGGAAAAA